AGCGCCATACCTGCCTCCACGCGCGGTGCCCACTCGCCGGCGGTTCCTCGCGTTGGCAAGCGCTCATCGTTACCCTGGCATGCCGAGCGCCTTCTGCGTAACATCGCTTCCGATCGTACTACTGAGCGCCGTGTCTTGCATCCGGATTCTCGTCCATGGCAGCCGTTTCAAGTATTGTGCATCCTGTCATGCCTTGCCCGCATATCGCCGTTTGAGCAGCGACAGCTTGACAGGATAGCGCCCCTGGTCTTACTGGTGGGCGTATTACATTGGTATCACTCTTGCTGTGGCATGCCGAGATTCGTCATAGTGCTCGTGACCATCTCTGCCATCTGTTTCGTTTTACTTTCGTTTGAAGTATACTGTAGTTGAATGCTTCCCAAGTCTTAGAGATGCTTCCACGTTTTCGGCAAGATCTGCGTGGTTCTGCAGTGTCGCACCCACAATTTAACAGGTCAGTAGCCACGCAAGCCACCATCATCTGAAGTCATGGGGAGTGGATAGCGTTGTGCTACTGTACGGCCTTGCTGACGTTTCTTTGTCCAACATTCTCAGGGCGTACCATAGGCGAGGCGGCCGCATGTTGGGTCTCCGTATGACGCGAGCAACGTTGTCTTCCTATTGACTGGGTTTGACTTGCGACTTGTGCAGAGTACGAAAGGGAAAGGCGACAGGTTGGGGAACATCCCCGCACTCGATAGGAGAGTGACCGGTTGATCTCTTTAGCTTTGACAGTTGAGGAGATTGGATAAGGCATTTGGGTACTTTGTGGGATGCATTCTTCCCCGTCTCGTGGGTATGGAGTAGCACTAGAAGTGGTGACGGTTGTAAGACCACGCAAGTAGCGCCATGCAGTAGAAACAAGTGGAATGAGAGCAGGGGTTGAGAGAATTGGTGGTGAGCACAAGAAGAAGTGGCGATGTAAGAACAGAAAAGCAGCGATTGCGACAAAGTTTTGCTCCGTTTGTGATGTGAAGGAAGTCGCGGTGTGCTGGAGCGCTCTTTCCGTACACGCGGCAGCCAGAGTTTGGTTCACCCGATAGAAGAGCGTCACGGTCTGTCGGCCATTACAACACCATTAAGCTTTCATTCGACAAAATTTTGCTGACCAGGTCGTGCAAAGTTCTTACCCTGTGTAAGGGGCAGTAATTGCGCATCTGAACTATAGTCCAGAAATTCCTGTGATGTCAGCTCAGCATGAGCCCAGGGCCAAAAGACTGGCCTACATCGACACAGCGCGAACGCTCTTATCCAGGCCTAGTTCACTTGTTGTAGATACGTTTGTGCTGCCTGTCACTGAGCCATGTCCCACTGGTATCACTGACGACGTTGTGTAGCGACCTTTGCTTGGATTGTATTGTTACCTTGGCCAAGACGGTTATCTACATATAGCCAGATGCATACCAAGAGCTTGCGATCAAGATACGATCCTGAACGCGGACTAGTCAACTAAAGTTCAGGCGTGCACTGCGACGTGGTCGATGCGACATATTTCCCGTTTGAGGAAGTCAAAATCATAGCGGAAGGAAGTCTGAGGATACGTCTATATCTTGGTATGATTCAGTCCATCCTTCTGAGCTGTTCGTGTTCACTACTTCGTGAGCTTACTGGCTTTGCAGATGCCGAAACTTGTTGCGTATAAACGATGTGGCGGCAATATAGCACACCTTATACATACCGAACCCTGAACTGCAGCGAGACGAAACTCTATAACTCAGGCTATTGTTGATGCAATGACGCCTACTCAAGAGCCGTAGATGGCGGAGTACGGGAAGTTGGATATGTGGATCCGCAGCCGGCCTTCGGCTCCACGCGCATCTCCCGTACCTCGTGTAACCCGCAGAGAGAGTGAAGCAGTATATCTGAGACTCTCGTGGGGCATGTCAATTGTCACTTCCATTCTGGCGAGATAGAAGGCGCGACTTAGTCAAGTGTTGTGATTGCCAGATTCACCTTCAACACCACTCAATCATCACGAACGAGCAAACTTCACAACACTCCAAAAGACCTCAACCATGGCACACATCGGCGCGCTGCCCAAGATCCACCGCTACATCACGGCCCATGATGACAAAGGCAAAGCCGTCTTCAGCAAAGCCTTCAACGAGGAAAGCAAGATGAAAGCCAACGACGACGGCATCGCCTTCGCCCTCAGCTTCACCACCAAAGGCTTCCCCGTCGATATGAATGACGACCAAGATCTCGATGTATACGGCAATTATCTCAAGGACGCCCCAGGCCTCGTCGTCTCTGGTGGCACAGTTCTCCGTCACGTCGACATCCCTCCGGACACAGCGTGCACGATGCACCGGACTGTGAGCTTGGACTACGGCTGCGTACTCGAGGGCGAGGTCGAATGTCTACTGGACAGCGGCGAGAAGCGATTGATGAAGCGGGGCGACGTCGCAATTCAGCGGGGAACGATGCATCAGTGGATCAACCACAGCAAGACCGACTGGACGCGCATGCTGTTTGTTCTGCAGGAGTCGAAGCCACTGAAGCTTGCGGGCGAGGCGGTCGGCGAGGAACTTGCTGGGATGGCTGGAGTGCGTTCTTCGGATTGAGTTGTGTGTTGATGGAGAACAAGATGGGATGGTTCCCTATCGATAGCAGATGTCGCCAAGCCAGCTAGCACTCAACTTGATCACTCCCCACGTGCTCCACTCTTTCTTTCCTGTACCTGAGTAGCATTTGCAGCAAACCAAGGGCAGTCGATAACTCACGTAATGTTGGCCACACTATGCGAATGCGAGCCGTGAGAACTATACCATATCTGGACGCTGCACCTGTCCTCGAACAATACTAAGCAACCCTTGCAAGAAAGCCATTGCAAGCGCCAGCCACTCACGCATGCGCATTCGTGCACCGTTCACAATTGAGACGCCGCGACGTGCACATACAAAAGATGGCTCTTCCACTACGCCCCTCAGCTCCTGCTTCCCGCTTAGAGGAGATTATTCCCGGCTCAGAACGGATTGAAGAGCTTTCAGACGAAGAGCTGGACAGCGACTACGAGGATATGGGGACTGCTACTATGGAAGAGCAAGCGAACATTGCTTACCTGGAGAGTGTAAGAATACCAATCAGGGACTCACTCGTGACGGACACATCGGAAGCGGATGAAGAAACGTCCAAGGTCATATTACCTTTCTTGGAAGGCAACCCCAACAATTTCCCACTCAACGCTTCTGGCATACCGAGCTTGCAGCGACGAAAGCACGCCTATTTCTTAGAAGGACAACTTGACGATTGGCCGGCACGCGCTGCCGCGTTGGATGCTGCGCGACCATGGATCATCTACTGGTCTCTGCAAGGCCTGACCGCACTGGGGTCTGACATATCCGACTACAACAGAACGTAGGTCTTTCCAATTCGAAAATGCCTTTGCAAAAGAATCACAATACATGACTTCAGCCGTACATGTTCTGATAGCACATAGAACACCACACACCGCCTCCCTGGCCCAACATCCGGACGGAGGATTTGGAGGTGGTTACGGACAGTACGCTCATCTTGCCTGTACCTACGCTTCAGTACTGTCGCTCGCCACAGTCGGCGGAAAAGAATCATATGAGACAATCAATCGCAAGACTCTATGGCACTTCTTGGGCCGAATGAAGCAAGCAGACGGAGGCTTTACCATGTGCGCAGGCGGCGAAGAAGACATTCGCGGTGCCTATTGCGCCCTAGTCGTACTCTCCCTCCTCAACCTTCCTCTCGAGCTACCACCCGATGCACCAGTACGAAAGCAAGGCTTCACCACCTTCACAGACGGCCTAGGAGCGTGGATATCCAAATGCCAATCCTGGGACGGCGGCATCTCCGCAGCTCCAGGCAACGAAGCTCACGGGGCCTACGCATTCTGTGGACTAGGCAGTCTCGCCATCCTCGGCCCACCAAAAGAGACGCTTCACAAGTACCTAGACGTCAACATGCTGATCTACTGGCTATCGTCGCGCCAATGCACACCAGAAGGTGGATACAACGGCCGCACAAACAAGCTCGTCGACGGCTGCTATTCCCACTGGATCGGTGGCTGTTGGTCTATTGCCGAAGCTGCGACCACGACAGGACTATGGAACCGCGGCGCACTTGGTCGTTACATCCTAGCCGCGTGTCAAGAGAACAAGGGTGGATTGAGGGATAAGCCTGGGAAAGGCGCAGATGCATACCACACTTGCTACAATCTGGCTGGGCTGAGTGCGGTACAGCACAAATATGCCTATGATGAGAATGTAAACAAGACTCTTGGTACGGGTACTTTTGGCGCACCTTTCCATTGGAAGATGGAGGGTCGTTATGATGGCGAGGATAAGGTCTGGGATGAGGGTGATGCGGTGAGGGCGGTGCATCCTGTGTTTGTTATTCCCTTCATGTCGGTATATGAGACAAGGAAGTACTTTGAAGAGAAGGAGGGGTTTTGAACACTTTAATTCACTTATCCAAGCAGACTTCATGTACTCTTTGCCGGTTGTGTCAAGTTTCATACTTTCACGAAAAACTACCATTCTACACGGAACCCCCATGACTCTCAAACGCTATAAACCAAGGCCCAAATCTTAATCAAAGCAGTCATGACCATGACCGCCGCAATAACACTGTATCATCCAAACGCCTGTCCTCCCCCTTCAAGGTGAAGTCTAATGCCCATTCATCCTCTTCCCACCCACCTCCTCCAAGATCTTCAACTGTCCCGCTCCAATATCATAGATAAGCCCATGAAGCGACAGACCACGTTCAACAACCGCTCTCTGTATAGCAGGATGCTGTTTCAGCACCTCAATCGACTGCTGCACGTTAAGCTCCGCAACACGCGCCGCCCTCGCATCATCGTTGGGAAGGCCCTCCAACTCGACCTTGTGTTTACGGCGGAGTCTGTCGGCGTTGTTAGTACGGTAGCTTTACAATTCCAGGATACTGATCCTGCGAACATGCGTTCGCCCCACTAGATCCCCTCCCCACATACTCTCAGAGAAGGAAGTAACTGAGGAAAAGTGGACTCACTCTCGAACAGGCCCCAGCCACTTGTTCAAAACATTCCCCAGATCATCGTCTCCAAGCGCTGCATTTGCCCCACCGCACTTCGTATGCCCGCAGACAACAACCTTGTTGACTTCCAAATGCACAACAGCATACTCCACTACACTCGCCGCGGATAGATCATCTGGATGCACCGTATTCGCTATATTGCGGTGCACGAAGATCTCGCCTGGCTTGCAGTGGCATACAGTCGTCTCCGGGATGCGGCTGTCTGCGCAACCGATCCAGAGGATGTCGGGAGCTTGACCTTGGGCGAGGAGTGTGAAGGCGTTGGGGTCGAGGGCTGTTGTGTCAGTGCGATAGGTTGCGTTCCCGGTGAGGAGGTGCGCGAGGGGTTCTGCGTCGGGATGGTTAGTAAAGTGGTGTGAGGTGTGCAGGATGGGATCCTTGTGCGGAGCATCTGGGGTGATGCGACCGGGGTGTGGATCCGTCAGGGGATGTATAAAGTCCGTGGTAGCCCCCAGGACTGCGACATCTTTCAACATTTTCTACGCATTCATCTTTTGCGCCGCATACCCCAGGGCTTGCAGCCTAATTTAAGGAAGAGTACGTACCGATGTAAGTCGCCATCTTTGAGTCGGATAAGCGGCTGGTAAGTCTATACCTATATCTCTGTATGCCCAGCACCAAGTGTATGACAAGCCTTGGCCGGATAACCAACAGCAAGGTTATATACCAAGTATGTAAGAGAAGGGACTTGAATAAGGGATGTGAACCAAGGTAGGCTTCAATGACCGCAGCCGTCGCATACCCTCTTCTCCGGCTGACTGAAGTCGCACACGAGCGCCGCGTGCGCAAACGCTCTCACAACATGCGCCGCTATTTCTCTACACCCCTCTCTTTCGTCATCTAGCTGACCTATCATTGCGGTAATTGTAACCGTCGATGCCATGCAAATGCGCTGTAATGGGCGCGGAGAACGTGTGGAGAAGGAAAGCGGTATCTGGGTAGCGAACCGTACATTGCACCCAGCTTTACCTAGACTCGACCAGAAACCTTCGCGGAACTATGTACGCCAACCAATAGAAGCCAACCTGCCCCAAGACAAAGACTGTACCGATCAGAATTTGTGCAACTGCCGCTACACCACCCAACGTGCCGAGAAAACGCCTCTATGCTGTGAAGCACTTTGGAGCAAATTCAGCCGGCTTGGTCGTACTCAGCACCATTGATTCTTCACTTGAATCTTATCCGCGTCGCAACTTGGGGCTACTGTCGGTTCCTCAGCGCTTCGCCTAAGCTTGTTGGTCGTGTGTGAGAGCCCTGATTAGTTGAGAGGTGTCTTAGATTTCAGTCTTGAGAGCAGGAAAGCATGACTGTGGGATGGATGGGCAGGCAGCGGCGGCTTTAGCGTCAGCGTATCACAAGAATTCAAAACCACACCTCCAAAGAACGCGCAATCGCTATGTACGGTACTAACGGATGATAAGCGTGTCAAAGGGATTAGGATAACACGAACTCACTTGCTTTGTGTCACCGCCGACCCTAAAGATATACACTGTTCAGTATGTTATATGTCGTGGTAAAGCGCGGTGTGCACTCCAGGGCACATTGCTTGAAATAAATAGAGGGATGCACATGGGAAGCAGCGCGAACAGGCATCAAGATAAGACAAGAACAATGAACTTCACACTATCAATCTACCCTACACCTCCAGCAAAACTCCAAATGTAAGAAAAGTAAAATAATCATCGTCTAGACGAAAGCCAATACGCCACCTTCCCAAGCCCACGCTTCTCACTCATGCCCGTGATAGCGTCAACATGTGCCAAAGTCGATGTGGGCATTTCACAGCACCCAGCGCTCGCCGAACTAGCACTCTGGCGACTCCGCCGCTGCTCGCGCTTCGGCGCCTCAACCTTCTGATACGTCCTCTCCATCGCTCCGTACGGCTTCCCATAGTTGCGGAAGCGCATTTGGAACGCGATAAGGACCACCGGTAGGACACTGATGAGCTCGCCCAGGCCCGCCCACTGCGGTGTAATCCTTACGTTAGCCTGGAGCTTGACAAATGCGCCGGCAGCGAGGATGATGGCGAAGAAATTGTAGAATGCCGACCAACTGAAGTTCCAGCAGATACGTCGGTATGCCGCATGCGATATGTCGAGTAGGATGAGCACGTCGTGTAGACGGGTCGTTATGAGGACAACATCAGCCGCGGACTTCGCAACGTCGGAACCATCATTGAGGTGCACGCCTACGTCGGCTTGTTTGAGCGCTGCAGAGTCGTTCGTTCCGTCACCCAGGAACATGACGATGGATTTCCTGCGTGAGTCCTGGAGATCACGGATGTACTGCATCTTTCCTTCGGGTGTGCATCGGGCCTTTGTATTCGCCTCGTCGATGTATAGGGTTGTTGCCACGTCGCTGACAGCCCCGTCGTTGTCGCCACTGAGCATGTGTACGTTTATTCCTCGAGCGTGCAGTTCTTTGATTACCATTATTGCTTCAGGTCGGGGTTGATCCAAGAGTTCGAAGCTCATGCGAAGGTCACCGCCGTAGGTGAAGTAGCATGCTGTGTTCTTTCCTTGTCCAATGACGTTGATGTGAAGCCATTCTGCGTTACCTGCGCGAATCTCCACCCCAGTTTTCGCACAATTGCCTTGGACGCCTTTACCAGGAATACTGGTGATGTTGTTGACCTGAAGAGGTTCGAAGTTCTTGTGGGCGAGAATGTCTCGTTCCAAATACTGGGTGATCGCGATCGATACAGGGTGCTTGATGTCCTTCACAAGGCCTAGTAACAGCCCCTTCATGAGTATGTGGTCCGTGTTGCGATGCATAGGGAGGCCAATGATCTCAAGTCTTCCTGTGGTAATGGTACCGGTCTTGTCGAAGATGATATCGGTGACGTTGCGTGCGATCTCGAGCTTCTGGGGGTCCCGAAAGATGATCCCGTGCCGTGCGGCTACACCACCTGCGATTAAGACGACCATGGGTACGGCAAGACCGATGGCGCATGGACATGAGACGATGAGAGTAGCGATGGCATAGGTAATGGCTGTGAGTACCGCGCTTCTGCTAACACGTCAGTACGCTGATCTGAATCTGCCTCCGCGGAGTAGAGCCTGGCGGACGCATACTGGAAAACAGTTAGCTAGGAGTTCAAGATATGCGCGGGGCGGATACCGTACCCTCCAGGATTTTGTGTTGTGGTATCGCTCAACGAATAGCCAGATGAGAAAGACCGTGAGCCCAATGGAAGCTATTGCGGGGACGAACCAACCAGCGACCCGATCAGCCAGTGCTTGTGCTCGCGGCTTCGTCAATTCAGCGTCTTCGACCAGGGCGGCAATCTGCTGGACCGAGTTTTCGTGGGGCAGCTTCGTTAAGCTCACGATGAGCTGACCATCTCCATTGTTGGTGCCTGCGAAGACTTCCGAGTCAAGTCCCTTTGCGTTTGGCTTGAACTCACCCGTCATCATTGATTCGTCGACGTCGGAGCCTCCGTATACGACCACGCCGTCTGTCACGATCCTGGTGTGCGGTGGTGTGCAGAAGTAATCACCGTACTGTAGTAGTCTGCTGTCGATTCTGCTCGTGATTGCGTTGGCCCACGACGTCGTGGTCTGCTGCACAAGGATTGCCTGGTCGACTTGGAGCGATCTGAAGGATACCGACTTCGCAGCTGCAAGAAAAGATTAGAATGTGTCCTGGAGACTAGATCGGTAGCAAAACTCATGATCACAATATCTAAAGGCGATGTAGGCTCCTGGGTGATAAGGTATACTTTCACTTACCTCGATAACGGGCGTATTCATTGATGAAGCGGCCCAGCAAGAGAAGCGAGACCAACAGCGTAGACGTCTCGAAGAACGATCCAGTTTCTAGTGGCCTACCATCAAGTTGGTACCTGTAGGATACGACGCTGAAAACGTACGCCATCGTGGTACCTATGAAAGTATGTAGTCAGTAAACGTATTTTAAGAATGAAGTTTGACGCTGGCGTACTGAATGTCACCAAGAAGTCCATCTCTAATACGTGAGAATGATAGAGAGATCTCAAGGCGCTCGGAACGAATTGGTAGAAGGCGATTAGCTGTACGAGGGTTGCCAGAGCCAATGAGATGTGGGCGAAAGTGGGGTTCTCGTGGTTGAGTGGGGCCCATGCGAAGATGAGGACGGGGAGAGTGAGAGCCAGTGTGGGAAGGAACCATTTTAGGGCTCTTCTGGTCTGCTTGGCTCCAAGATCAAGCCCTGGATCTGCCACTAGAGGTGCTAGAGTTAGATCGGGATCGTATTTGAGGTAGTGTTCGTAGACGTCTCGAGCGCCGATGACGTTCGCGTCGTAATATATATTGGTCGGTGGTATACGTAGCTTCGAGGTTCTGCGAGGGCTGTCCTCGGCACCGGGATCTCCGTTGACATCGGCCGTCTTCTCCTGCGTTAAGCCCTTGCGCCCACTCAACAAGCCGAAAGGACGCCATGGTGCTCGTTCGGGGGCCTCGACACGTGTGACGCCGCGTGGTTGGACGGCATGCTGCAAACGCCTGGGATCGGTGATGATGAACTCTAAAACCTGACCAGAAACCGTCACCTGCTCCTCGAATTTGTATCCAGTCTTCGTTTCCAGTAGCTCGATAATTCTGTCAACGGACAGCCGATTGGTATCCAGCTCTAGCTCGACCCGAGCTAGGACAGTATTCACTTGAAAGTTTCTAACGGCAGGGATGCGGCCAACCGCCCGCGAAAGCCCTGATTCGCAGCATCCGCACTTGAGACCATCGATTCGGAGAACGACTCGCTCGAAATTTGAAGGGCCAAGCTCAACGTCCTCTTGTTCGTCCAAGATCGCAATATCACCTAGATGCTTTAGTGAAGAGTCCTCACTTGGGTGGGGAGACCCCGAGCAGCAAATACCCATGGCGTGAGCTTGGGTATGTGAGCTCTCCAAGGCTGGGGCTTCTTCCCCGTCATGCGCATCGTCGTGTGCATGTACCGTCGCCGTTGCCTTCGCAGATGGTGTGTGCGGTCGACTGGTTGAGCAGCAGCTGGAAATCGCGCCAAATGGACGGTGATGTGGCCTCTTTGGGAGATGTACTGAGTCTGGCGCTGGAAGTTTCGTCTCCTCCACTGCCTCAGAATACTGAGAGCCAGTATATTCCTGTGCTCGCGGCGGGTTTTCAACAGGCTGTGGCTCGACCGTAGGCAGTTTCGGAGAGCTTCGGTCAACCGTGAATGGAAGACCCAGAATATGAGCGCGTGGAATGCCATTCTCGGTGGGCTTCATAGACATGGCCATGATGAGTTGCTGTAATAGTGATAGATGCTTCTGGTGTTGCTACTGATGTCGGTGAAGCTGATAATGCTGATGTTTCTGATGATGTTGATGCGTCCGGGAGCTCCACCAGGCTGGGAGATAACAAGACATACGGTCACGTAGATGTAGTAGGCGCAAGTCCTGTTGAGGGTAGCAACGAGGTACGGTCAAGCAGATAGAATCTTGCAATGCGAAGGAGCGTGTCGCCAGGCCCGCCTCATACAAAAGCGACTCTGAAGGTAGGCACTGTCTTGTATCCTGTAGAAGTGTAAAGCCGCACTGAATACCTCCGGGGTATGGTTGTGTGGGTACAGCTCGGAAGTACGAGCCTACTCGATCAATGGCCATAGATATGGGCTGGTTATCAAGCTGTCCCAGATCCATACTGACAGCTGTAATACGCCTTCCACAAAGCATACAGGTGCGACTGAGGAAGTATGCTGGTCAGGGAAGAGCGACGGTCTGCTGTGCTACGCGCGGTAGTAACGTCCATAGTATCCGGGTACCAACCTCGATAGTCATGGAGGATGCCAGTCCGTACTACATGTCCAAGATACTAGATTCTTAGCATGGGAAGTGCCATTTCATGGAGCCACCTCATGCAAGGAAAGACCTGAACATCCCAGAGCCCATATTGACGTTAGATGACCTACTTTGCGCGTTTCAACCTTGAACCAGGCTGCAGACCTGTCCCTTTTCTTCCTTGCATGAGGTGGAGCGTGAGATTGGCCTTGCGAAGCACCTTGGGGGGACTTTGATCGAGCGTGATGTGGATGCGACCTTCCAGGGTCAGGCTCGAGGCTAGGTCGCCGAACACGTGATAGCGCGCTTTTGGACGATTGCGTCATCACGGTCAGCCTTCACTGGAGCATTCCAAGCAGGCCGCCGCAACGCAATACACTCACGAATCGCGATATCTGCACGCAATCTACTCTCGGCTTATTGCAGCCATGGTGGTTGCTGTTGCGCTGTGTAGCTCTCAACCGCAAGCGTCACAATCGAATCCCCACACTTTGCGCCAGCTCTACCGGTGACAGCGAACATGGCAGGCGCGCGAGGAAGGTCGCATAAGGCGGCGGAGTCGGCTACTCCAAGACGCTCAACGCGGAGGGCTAAGAAGGAACAGGAGGATGCAGGCGTACCAGCCGTGTTCCAGGAGATGCTGCGCGAAGAGCAGGCCACGAGCACAGACGAACCGCCGCTCAAGAAGAGAAAAACGGCGCCTCCACGACGACAACCAAGCCCGGAACACCATGTTGAGCCCGTACGACAACGGCGACCGCTGACCGATGCTCCGAAGTCGCCACTACCCGTACCATCCCAAGCCGAAGATGCTGCATCACAATCCCAGATGCCGTCGCACACGCGATCGCGGCCCATCGCTCAAGCCCATTCCGTCACTGACGAGGAACCGCGTACGAACGAACGAGTGCGCCAGACTATCATCGACTCGGACGAGTCAGATGACAGCGATATGGAGTGGGAAGACGCGCTTGCCGACGGCGACGAGAGCGATGACCCCGACGAAGGCGTTGAGGCTGCACCCAAGATTGGCGACATCAACATCACCATGGGAGCCAAAAAGACAGACGAGACTGGGACAAGGAGGAAGGTGCGTCGGCGGGCCATAACCTCGGTGGACAAGAAGCGACGTTTGGATATCCACAAGATGCACATTCTCTGTCTGCTCTACCACGTCCATCGCAGAAATGCCTGGTGCAACGACAGGAGGGCACAAAGCACGCTACGTAAAATTGTGCCTTCCAAGACCCTATCCAATCTGGTACCAAATCCCGACTTGTCGCAGTACTCCGCCTCGAAGCAATTTATAGATGGGTTGAACGAGCTAAAGGTACTATGGTCAAAGCGGTTCAGAATCACGGCTCAAGGCATGTACAAGCCTAGATGGGCTGAAGCCGAAGCCGCCATTCGACCCTTCTCAGACTTTGACGACCTTGATGACCCTATGGACAAGGATGAATTTCGCACCGCAGCGCATACTTTACAAGGGTCTCAGGACGTTGGAACCCAACTGTTTTGCGCTCTTCTTCGTGGCATCGGTATTGAGGTTAGGCTTGTTTGCTCGCTACAGCCATTACCTTTTGCTTCTGCAGCCGAACGTGCCACCCCGCAGAAGACCAGCGCCCAGAAAAACACGATAGTTGTCGATCCGTACAACAAGCCGGCAGAGCCCAGTCCAACGAAACCCAAGTCACAGGGCCCGCGTAACAAGAAACTATCCAGACTCGAGCGTGTGATGGGGGAGCGACATGCTGTTCTGAACAAGACAGGTGTATCACCCAAGAAACAGAAAGCCTATCACACGCCGTATCCAGTGTATTGGGTGGAGGTACTCAACCCTTCTTACCAGAAGTGGATACCAATCGATACACACTCTACGTTTACCGTCAACTCGCCTGAGAAGCTAGAGCCACCGCTTAACTTTGCTCAGAACATTCTCTCCTATGCGATAGCGTTCGACGAAGACTATACTGCCAAAGACGTCACCCGAAGATACGCGAAAGCGTACAATGCCAAGACGCGGAAATACCGTGTCGAAATTACTCCTGATGGTGATAGATGGTGGAAACGGGCGATGCAATTCTTCCAGCGTGGAAGCACCCTCGACAGAGACCAAATGGAAGACGCTACTTTGGCTCGCAAAGAAGCTGCCGAAGGTATTCCAAAGAACGTGCAAGACTTCAGAGGCCACCCAGTTTACGTTCTTGAGCGTCATCTCAGGCACAACGAAGTGATACATCCCTTGAACCAGGTCGGCAAGGTCAACTGCGGCAGTGCCATGAACCCAAAGATGGAACCCATCTACCGTCGTACAAATGTTCATCTAGTCCGGACAGCCGACAAGTGGTATCGTATGGGACGGGATGTCAAAGTTGGCGAGCAGCCACTCAAGCGCGCCAAGCCCAAGAAAGGAAGAAGGTCTTCGATTGGAGCAGACATGGATATCGATGATCAAGTCGACGAGGTTGGTGCGGGGCTCTTTGCAGAATTCCAGACCGAGCTCTACATCCCTCCTCCCGTTGTCCGAGGGCGCGTGCCACGCAATGCTTACGGTAATTTGGATCTCTACGTCCCGTCCATGTGTCCGCCCGGCGGTACGCATATCCGACACAAGCTCGCATCGAAAGCAGCGCGTATTGTTGGAGTAGACTATGCAGATGCTGTTACTGGCTTTTCCTTCAAGGGTCGCCATGGTACTGCGATTGTACAGGGTGTTGTGGTTGCACAAGAGTACGCAGATGCTGTCCAGGCAGTCATTGATGGAATGGAGCACCAACAGGAAGAAGCTGAAGCCGAGGCGCGAAGGGTTGAGTCTCTGCGCCTATGGAGACGCTTCTTCCTCGGCCTCCGCATAGCACAACGTGTCAACGCTATCGAGATTGATGGTGAAAAGGGCCCAGCCATTGATGTGCAAGATGAGATTAGTAAAGAGGACAGAGAGTTGGCGGCACAGGAGATGGCCGGAGGCTTCTTCCCTGATGAGGGTGATGTGGCAAATCCCTCAGCGGGTGGCTATCAACCACCTGAGCAAGATTACGGAGATGGCGGGTTCCTGCCTGAGGATCATAACGAAAACGATGGCGATGGAGGCGGCGGCTTTATCCCAGAAGAACCCGACCGTCCGGCGCCTATCAGTCTAAACCGACATCAAAGCTTCGAAAGTTCCATCCTAGACTCGCAACAACTTCTCCCTCGGCGTAGGAGTAGCTATGGTCAAATCTACTCTTCGGAGGATGATGAAGAAGGTGGAGGCTTCGTTCGTGACGGCTCTCCAGACGAAGCAGGCCCCTCCACTGCTACCAAAGACGCCAATGCCGGGCCTTCGCAGCTTCACGAAGCTTCAGATACCGCCGGAGGTTTCATACCAGAAGCAGAACCCACCAATGACGCGCATTTGGAAAAACCCAAAGAGCCTACACCCCCAGAGCAACCCGATGATCTCGAACCCAAACCCAATACCGACACCGAAATGCCCTCTTCACCTTCATCATCCCCTTCAGAAACAGGATCCCTCATGATGGAAGACCCCGAAGACGAAGACGCTGACCCCGACTGGCTGGTCGATGCTACATAGTCACCATAATGTCAATCGCTTCGGTGAAGGACTATATTAAAGCAGTCCAATGCCAATAAATTTCCAGTACAACACTACACTGAATGAATGTGACGTGCCTGTGCATCACCTTGCACAGCTTTTGACACGTCGGACAGGGCAGCTATCCGATGTATGCCGCTTCGCGTGTTCAGGTACCTTGATGGTCTGGTGGAACGGTGTTGCGGTGTGATGGAATGGATTGGGGAAGCGAATGTCGGAGTTGGTGCTACGAAGGGGGATTGACGCCGTGGCCAATTGCTTCTCTTCCACCGTAACGAAGATGTCATAGTCACAACAGACAATGTAAAAAAGATGGATGACTTTGGATAACAGCACATCAGCGAAATTGACATGAGCAGAGCCTCAGGATAGTGATCATCTTGTCAACTCGTATATTCATACAGACATAACACTACACTACCCCACCCAAATCTTCACCATCCTAAACCTTCGGCTTAACCCCCTTATGAATAGCCGCAATCCCCATAGTCAAATCCTCCCACCCCTTGCCGGGAACCAAAAACCCGGCCTCCCTGATCATATTGCTGAACTCCTCCTGACTCGGAAACCTCGCTATACTCTCTACAAGATACTGATAACTCTCTCTATCCCCGGCAACCACCTGCCCTATCAGAGGTATAGCACCGAAACTCCAGCGCTGGTACACGGCGTCGAAGACCGGGTTGTTGACTTTGCTGAACTCGAGACACGCGAATACGCCGCCGGGCTTCAAAACGCGGAAAGCTTCTTTCAGGGCGATTTCTTTATGTGTGAAGTTGCGGATGCCGAAGGCGACGGTGTAGAGGTCGACGGATGCGTCGGGTATCATGTCCAATTTCTCGGCGTTGGCTTCCACGAAATCCAATCGTGGAGACCGCGCGTACGGTGTCTGTAAAGATCGCTTCCGGCCTTCAGCTAGCATGTCGGGGTTTATGTCTGCGACAACGACGCGCGTGTGTGGGTCGTGGTTTATGGTAGAGGCGTGGTCGAGCATGCGGAAGGCGATGTCGCCGGTGCCGCCGGCGATGTCGAGGATGGACATGCCTTGTTGGCTGGTGGGAGAGGTGAGGGGGTTCAACCCCGGGTTCAGGTTTCGCACGAAGTGGTCTTTCCAGAGGCGGTGGATGCCGAGGGACATGAAGTCGTTCATGGAGTCGTAGGAAGAGGCTACGGAGGAGAATACTGCGCCGACTGTGCGGTTTGCCGTCAGTAACGGGCGTGTGAGGGGATATTGAATGCAATTGACATACCCCTCTGCTCTTTCAACGCTTCAGATATCGTCTCGAACCCAAAATGCGTCTGCTGGCCGCTGCCGCCATTCTGCGGCGACTTCGGTGGCGGCGTGCTCTGCTGCGCTTGTCGGATGGAGCACGAGAAACATCTGTACGGCTCCCTAGCCACCCTGCTCTTCCTTCCGCCCAGCAATTGCCGTCCTATCCTCTGTCGGCTCGCCTGCATGTTTGCGCTGGTCGTGGGTTGTTGTTCGACAAGGCTTGGCGGGCGACTTTCTCGAATTCATGCGCCATGACACGCGCATCTAGCCCCAGCCAGCCGTACCAACCGGAAGTTTGCTAGCGCCCGCCCGCTGTTGTTTGACCGCGGTTGACGTCGACTACGCCGACGCTTGCCGCCTACCCCAGGCGCATGCTTCCCCAGAATTTATTGATATACCGCTGTCCCCCGCCCGCGCTTTGAGTTTGAAGATGTAGTGTCAGCCATGTCGTTCCGGTATACTTCGCGGATATTACGGTTACAGAGGCTTTCGGGCCTGCAGGGAGGGCTTCATGGGTCGAGGAAGGTTGTCGGCACGCCGTTGCAGTCATGTAGGGGTGTTGCTTCGACGCCTACGGCTGAGAGGTGAGTTTTTGTGTATGGATTGCGTTGGGATGGGAGACTGACATTGTGCTCAGGGTGTTGTTTCCTGGTGCGCTGAACAGCGAGTTCACGAATACTATGGAGTTTATGCAACCAGCCCAAGCCCCGGCTATATCCACGTACCGTGTCATGAACCAGTACGGAGAGATCATAGACAAGGAGATCGGAGTTGAGACTTCAGATGAGGAAGCTCTGTCCTTATACAAGAACATGGTTAAGCGTCAGTGAGACTGTTACCGAGTGTGGACATTCCATTGACAGGCTACAGTGAGCATAATGGATCTATTGATGTTTGAAGCGCAACGGCAAGGAAGACTATCCTTCTACATGGTATCTCAAACACCAAACACCTCTCAACTTCGTACTGACAGACCAAGGTCTCCGCCGGCGAAGAAGGCATAGCCATCGGCTCCGCGAGCGCCCTCTCCCCCGCCGACGTAATCTTCTGCCAATACCGCGAATCAGGCGTCTACCTCCAACGCGGCTTCACCCTCTCCTCCTTCATGAACCAGCTCTTCGCCAACGCAAAAGACAACGGTCTAGGCCGCAACATGCCCGTCCACTACGGCAGCAAGGAGCTCAACATCCACACCATCAGTTCAACCCTCGCAACGCAAATCCCCCACGCAGCAGGCGCCGCCTACGCCCTCAAGATGCAGAATGTGCAGAACCCTGAGACAGAGCCACGCGTAGCGGTGTGTTACTTCGGTGAGGGTGCAGCCAGCGAAGGAGACTTCCATGCCGCCCTTAACATCGCTGCGACCAGACAAGTTCCCTGCATCTTCATCTGCCGCAACAACGGATACGCCATCTCCACCCCTACATCAGACCAATACCGGGGCGACGGAATCGCCTCCCGCGGCGCAGGCTACGGCATCGCCACTCTCCGCGTAGACGGCAACGACATCTTCGCCGTGCGACGCGCCACAGCCGAAGCCCGGCGGCTGGCTCTCCACGACGGCGGGCGCCCCGTCCTGATAGAAATGATGGCCTACCGCGTAGGCCACCACAGCACCTCCGACGACTCCTTCGCGTACCGCCAACGCGTCGAAGTCGAGGACTGGAAGCGCCGCGATAACCCCATTACCCGACTTAGAAAGTGGCTTGAAGGACGCGCACTCTGGGACGATGCCCAAGAGAAGGAGTTGAGGAGTGCGACGCGGAAAGAGGTGTTAAGTGCGTTTGAACAGGCGGAGAAGGAGAAGAAACCTAGTATCCGGAATGCGTTTGAGGGGGTTTGGGAGGAGTTGACGGCGGAGCAGAGGGAGCATGTAAGGGAGTTGAAGGATGTGCTTGTGAGGTATCCGAAGGAGTATGATCTTGATGGGTTTGAGGGGGGACTGAAGGGGCTGGATGATTTGTTGGAGGGGAAGAAGGTGGAGTAGAGAGTACCTCTGCTTGCATACATTACTACTGCGTCGCCCAGGCATTTAGGAGTCGAGTACAAAATGAGCGGAGTGATAACATATTCATTCATACTGCAGACGATCCAATCAAGACGTCTGCGCTACCCTGATAAACCGTATCCATACCCATACCATCCATGCCTATCCGTTCCCATCCCAGAAACTCCGCGCCCGCCGAGCATCAAAACACTGATGACAATCATAGATAAAGATCCACTCCTTACATGAGAGTTAGATGTCCTTCCCGGCCGTTTGCAAAAAAGAAAACAAACACCCATTTGTTTAACGCCGGGTCCATCCATTCCGCCATGGTACTCAATCTGATAAGTGAGAAAAAGAACGAAAAGTTGGAAATGCGCAACAACGTATGTAAAACGCTAAAGGGATGATGGAAAGATATCCCAGACTCCATGCCCCCGGAAACGCCGTTCGAAAAGCAGATGAATAAAGATTGAGAAGTGCAAGAGCTTGACGTGTTTGTTTTGGAAGTGAAATGCTCAGCGGAAGTACGATCCACGTTTCCCGCCGCTGCTTGTGCTGGTGCCGCCTCGCGCTTCCTCGAGACTGCGTCGGGAGCCCCCGGCACCAATCTCGCTCATTTGGAAGAGCAGGGGTTCGTCGTCGTCAACGTTTGTTGCAGCGCGGCTGTTAAAGTTGTAGCGACTTTGACGCTCAGTCGAGCTCGTACCGCCAGTGCTGAGGCTGGTAGAAGAGCTATGCGAGAAGAATCCGCCTCGACCACGTGCACCAGCCTGGGTGCCGCGTTTGGCCATGTTGGAAGTGGACGACGGCCGGGGCAAGTCGTCGCGAAGATCGTTATCAGCAGTCTGGCTATCGCGATTGCCACTAGCTAGTAGCTCCGTTTGCGCGAATAGTCCACTAGACGTAAGACCTGCGCTGGTCAGACGATGCAGATCGTTAGCGCGATCAACCTCCTCCGATGGTAGACTGGCCGATCGGACGCCGAATACGTCGGGCTCGTCGTCAGGTAGTGTTCTATTCTGCTGGGAGACGGAACTCGATCGGCGAGTGTAGTGCCACGGCCGCGGTGAAGTTGGAATGGCAATGGCGTTCATGTTCTGATCCTCGCTCTCGCTTTGCTCTTCGACGTTGACTACATCGTGCTCGCGCGTCCTTCGACCAGGGCGGCTTCGACTGCGTGTAGGTTGGTCGTATTCAGCGATGCTATTCGCGCTGAGACGAGACGGGATGGCTGGTGTATGCGGAGTATGGGGTGAGATTGGCTTGCCAGGTGAAGACGCTGTCGACACCGATGTGCCGCCTATCATCGCAGGAACGCTAGATAGATGGCGGCTGGAGGATGATGGTGTGCGATGGAGCATGGTTGAAGAAGAGACTGATTCAGCAAGGCCTGTATGAGACTCACGCATCCGCTGATACTTGGACAGCTGAGCCGTAGTCTTGTGCATAGTGGCTGCTTTTGCGGATTGGTCGCTCCGTGTGAAGCTCTTCAGGTCCTTCTTCGATTCAAGAAGCTTCAGGAAGTCGGAAATGTTCTCATCATCCGTCTTGACTTCACCTGAACTGCCACCTGTGCCCTCATTCATGGTATCAGACCCGCGTTGTGCTGACGAGGAGAGGCTTCCCTTCCCACTACTGAGGTTGTCATCCTCTGTTTTGCTGCCGCCCCCTGTCGAAAACTTGCTCCTCCTATGACCGAAGCTACTGCTGTAGCGACTGATGGGCGCAGGCTTTGGCGAGCTTGATGCAGAAGAAGTGATGACATTGTCGTTGGGTAATGAGGGTGTCCGAAGCGCCGTTTGAGGGAGGGCAGTCAGTGACGTTCGGTTACGCGGTTGAGTGAGTGGGTTGGGGGTGGCGGTCCGACCAAGGGAGCTGCCGGGTCTTCCTACTGAGCTGGTGGGAGATGGAGGCACACCGAGGGCTGGCGAGGATGAGAGTGAGCCAGCCTTGAAGGGCTGGAAAGAGACCGAGGTTCGTCGCTGGTATGACGGCGTATCCACGGAGCGTAGAGATGACTTGGAGCCTTGGGCGGTGCGATGGTTGGGTGGCAGCTTCTGTGGTGGTGACTCCATGGGTGATGATGACGGCATATCCCGTGCTGCGCGAAGAGCGGAGATGGGGCTTGTTCCTGTTGGCGGACCAACTTGGTGGAACGTTGAAAGGCTGCCGTATGCTTGTCCAACATCGGGGCTCTCTTGCGCATTCATCTTATTTACAGGAAGTGATCCAGGTAGTTGGCGTGTCTTTTGCTCGAAATAAGTGTCGTCCAGGCCCTGGAACTGCGAACTCAGAAGAGACTCTGAGTCTTCTACGCTGAACTCGCAGTTGGTGCGGTACTCGACTGTCACACTCAGAGGGCCTACAGGCGAGTTGGTGGGCTCGATGTCGTTAATGTCTGTGATCCTTTCGTTTGGGTCGGTTGGGTAGAGCGGCAGATTCAGGGTGTCGACGTTGGGGCTCTTGAAATCCCCATTCGAAACGCGGTAGTTGAGCTTCAGTGAAGGTGAATTTGCGGGTTGCTTGGCGAGCACCTTGTTGTATCTGAACGCAGGCATGAAGCGCAGGTAAGCGAACAACGACCGGAAAGTGACGACGGCCTTCTTGTACACGTTGGGAAGCGGTTCGCTCAGCTCCGAAGGCTGCACCAAGCTCTTGTCTCCGACGTGTACCCTCCAACGCTCGAGCACAACCTGTGTGGACTTGCCGGTGCGGCCTGACGATCGGGAGGTCGCATCTGCAGAGTTGAGAGCCGCAGCGACATCCCACTTCTTTCCATCATCATCGTGTATGACGAGCGACTGGTTGTGGCCGAGGCCTTGTATGTCCAAGTAGATGTCGATGCATAGTGAGGGATGCTGGCCGTTCACGGCATCCATGAGTTTCCATTCGGCGAGTTGGCGCTGGAGCACATCGCTATCGGGGAGGACGACATTGAACTATGGCATGTCAGCGAGGAATGTGGAGTTGCGGGATAGTCAACACATACCCATTTGTTGTGCTTCATCTTGCCATCCTTGTTGTATGCTGGAGGCAGTGTTACGCGAGAAGATACGATGGCGAGGGCTGATTTGGTGAAAAAGTTCTGGTGGGAGTGAGTATGCGTCCAGCCACAGATGGGAGGAGAAGATAAGTACCTGGATGACTTGGTTGACCTTGTGGTATTGCCCCCTCGACTCGGAGGCGGGCTCTCCC